CACCCAGACCAAGAGCCTTCGGAGCCTAAGTGGTTGCTTCTTTGTGACAAGGCGTCTGCCACCGCTCCAGCCACTGAGTCCTCTCTCCAGACAAGAAGATGGGGAGAGGGCCAAGCCCTTTTGTCTGAAAGGACAGGTCTCTTCAGGGACTTTTTTGTGCCTCACTGGGCAGGACTAAGTCATGTGGGCAACCCTAGAGGCCGGGAGGCTGGAAAGTCACGCTCTGAGAGAGTGGAACTGGGTGTTCTTGCAAACAATAAGCAGTGGCCTGCAGAAAGGCGGGGCCTGCCCAGCCGACGTCGCCCTCCCATGTGCACCCTTCCTCGGGTGGGTGCGCAGCTGCCCCTCGCCCTCGGTGAGGAAGCAGCGGGGGGCCTCTGGGGGCCCCACAGCCAGTCGCACAGCGGCCCCAGGGCAGCACCGGAGGTAACTGGCAGCTCCCCTGGGGCGGGAGAGCCGCGTCTCCCGGGCAACGCTCACCTCCGGCTCCCGGAGACCTCGGCCGCCTGGCGTGGGTGGGAAGGTACACAGCTGAGCTCTGCCGCTTTGTCCTTGGCCAGGGGCCAGGCCTGTGCCTCCAGGAGCAGCCTCCCTCCTCGGCAGCTCCCCCGCCTTTGGCCGTGGCCTCCAAGGCCGCGCTGCGGCAGGTGCATCCGAATCCCAACCCTCCTCTGTCTCACGTCGCCGTGGGGACCCACAGGGACCGGGAGCACCCTGTGCGCACCTGGCCGCCGGCCGTCCCTGCGGGTCCTCGCACCCTCACCCCCAGCCACGGGTGTGCATTTGAAATCTGGCTGGTGCGACGGACGACTGAGTTCGTCTTATTTCATTTTAATTGACTGGCACTCAGTGACTGCTGTCCTGAGCAGGGCAGCTGTAGGCTGGGGCGCTGGGCCTCTCTGTCCCTTGTGGAGGAAAGACACATTCGTCCCGAGTCGTCAAGAGTGGGTGCCTCCAAGGACACTAGCCTGAAGGCCCAGAGAGGGGCAGCGGCTCGCCCGAGGTCACACAGCAAGGCAGAAGCTCAGGGCTTCCTGGTCCTGCCGACTGCGTGGTGGTTGGCCTGCTGGGCATCCACGTGGTCGTTGCTGCTCATTGTGGTTTATGCTCCTTGCCCCCATTTCACAGGTGAGGCGGCTGAGGCCCAGGGAGCAAACGCGCCTGCCTTGGGTCTTGGCGCGTCCTCGGGCTTCCTGTGACTGCAGAGCCGGGATTCTGTCTGCTCCTGGAAGGGCCTGGGCCCGGTGATCAGGGCTCCCCCCCTCCCCAGCGGGGCCGGTGCGGCGCGGAAGCTTAGGGAAGGCCCTCTCTCTCCGTGGAAGCGTCTTTCTGGCCCGGCCTCCTAGGATTTGGCTCCCGCAGGTGCCGCACCTGGCGCCCTGCCCTCACGGCTCCCGTGTTTTGCTCAGATCCCTGCTGTGGGGGAGGGGTACACGCCCTGGGTGTCAGGTACACCTGTTGGGAAGGTGAGTGCGGGAAAAAGCCTGCCTTTGCCACTGTTGGCCAGGGAGGGCCTGTGGCAGAAGCCCCGCCTTCCTCTCTGCCCACCTCCAAGTTCAAGGCAAGAAGACTGAGCCCCCCCCCCCCGGCCACCTCAGGATTGCCTCGTTCCAGAATCCTGTGGGATGGGAGTGGTTTAGGGAATAAATTCCAATTTCAGACCAATCCACCAGGAATGAGTCAGTTTTCAGTGTGTCTCCCATGCCACGTTCAGGACACACTCATCCCCTAAGTGACCGCTGTCTATCAGACGTTCAAGTTTAACTCCGCATCGGGGAAAACAGTGGAAGATGCCCCAGTCCTTGGGCCCCTACACCCGCGTGGGAGACCTGGAGGAAGCTCCTGGCTCCTGGCTTCGGATCGGCACAGCTCCAACTGTTGCGGCCAATTGGGGAGTGAACCAGCCGATGGAAGACTCTCTCTCCCTCTCCCTCTCTCTCTCTCTCTCTCTCTCTCTGCCTCTCCTTTTCTCTGTGTGTAACTCTGACTTTCAAATAAAGATTTTATTTATTTATTTGAGAGCTAGAGTTGCAGACAGTGAGAGGGAGAGACAGAGAGGTCTTCCGTCCGCTGGTTCACTCCCCAGATGGCTGCAGTGGCCGGAGCTGGGGGCAGGACAAAGCCAGGAGCTCCATTCAGATCCGACACGGGTGCAGGGGCCCGAGGACCTGGACCATCTTCCACTGCTTTCTCAGGCGCAGCAGAGAGCTGGATCGGAAGAGGAGCAGCCGGGACTCGAACCAGCACTCACGGGGGATGCCGGTGGTGCAGGTGGAGGCTTGGCCCAGTGTGCCACAGCTCTGGCCGGGCTGAGGCCTTTTAGAATCAGGCCTCTCCAGCTCGCTCCTGCTCCGAGCACTGCCCATGTGCTGGTGGCTCGGGGCCAGCTTCGCAGCCCCCTGACCTCACGCTGCCCCCCCGTGCTCCCCGCGGCAGCCCCTCCGTGGGCAGCCCGCCCCGTGCACCTCCCCTCTGCAGGTTCTTAAGGCCAAAGCAGCTCCCTCTCCCCCGCGGGAGCCCCTGCACGGGCTGGGGTGGGGACGGCCCGCCGTGTTTGTCTGGAATGAGGGCGAGCGGGGGGAGCCCCCGGAGCTCATCTGCTTTGACGTGTGGCTCAGGGGGCCTGGCTGTGGCTGAGCCCCCCTGCCCCTGCGTCCAGCAGTGGAGAGCTGCCCTGCACACGCCCTGCCTCCCAGGCTCAGGGCTTGGGGGTCTTTCCGATAGGTGGCGCAGAGGGGTCTGGGTTTCACCGAGACGGGGGCGAGGCCTGTCTGCGGCACTGCCCCAGAAGTCCCCACGCCTGGAGTGGCAGCTGGCAGGGGACTGGCGCCCGCCAGCGTGTGCTGGGTGGACCGAGCCACTCGCAGGTGTCCCCGAGCACGTGAGGCCGGGTGGTGCGTGCGACGGTGCAGGTGCAGGACAGAGGCCCAGGCGCTGCTCTCCGGGAGCCTGCCGTGCCGGAAGGGGCTGGGCTCGGGCTGCCTGACTGCTGGCACAGCTGGCTGGGAGGGTGCCCGCCTCTCCTCGGGCTGAGGCCGTCGGGCAGCAAGGGCCGTGCGAGGAAGGGCGGGAGCTGCCCCGCAGGCAGTGGCGCTGCACAGGCCCTGATGGGATGGAGTCTGGTGCCTCAGGGAACTGAAAGGGGTCGGGGCCCAGAGGAGGTGTCCGATGGGCCCAGCAGTCAGCAGGTGCCCTGGGCGGGGTTGGGGCCTGGACTGGGGCCTCAGAAGAGGAGGTGGCAGGTGGACAAGGGCGCGGGCCAGAACCCTCACTTCTGTTCCTCCAGGCCCCCAGTGGGTGAGTGGTGCCCCAACCCCCTGGACCTGGCCTTGCCTGGCTCAGCCTCAAGGCCAGAGGGTCCCCCAGGGGGCCCTAGGGAGGACGAGCGGGTGCCGACGCTGGGGGGTGAGGTGCTGGAAGTGGTCCCGGCCGCCTTGCCGGTGTGCAGAGGAGGGCGCCCTCCTGGATGGCCTTGGGGCCCCGCCACCGCATGGCGTCACGCCCCATTTCCAGCCCGGGGGTCTGAGGCTTGGCTGGGGAGGGACTTGCGCGCTGTCACTTGCCTGGCCTGAGACCGGCAGCCCCAGTGCCGTGCCAGCCACGCCCCTTCTGGGACCTGCCAGGACTGTATCCCCAGGCTCCCGGGAGGATGCGCTACCCTCAGCCGCAGGGAGCCTGGCTGCTGTCACCACACATGTCCAGTGTGGCCAGAGCTGCCCCTGCCTTCCCCGTCCCCCACCCTGGTGCCCTTGGTAGATTAGACGGCGGGCCAGTGGGCAGGGAGAGGGAGCCGCTGGGGGCCCAGCCTGAGTCGGGGAGCTGGTGGCAGGCGCCGCCGTGGGCGTGGGGACCCGGCCCTCGTGGTCCTCTGCTGTGGCGAGTGGCTGAATGCACAGAACCAAGGATTGAGTGAGACAGAGGGAGGAGGGGCCGGGGGCACAGGGCCAAGTGGGCTACGCTTGCTCCCCGCTGCCGCATTTCCCATACAGTGGGGAGCACTGTGCAGGCAGGTGGGGCGTCCGGAGGAGGAGCTGAGCGGGTGTTCCGGGCAGAGGCACCGCTGGGGCCCCGCCGCTGGAGAGTGCGTGGCGTGGCAAAACCAGGGTGCAGGGTGGGCCGGGGAGGGAAGTGGGTGTGGGCAGAGGCCAGAGCCTGGACCTGCCCGGGTGTGTGTTCCAGGAGGTCTTCGGGTGGTCTCTGAGCCACGGGGGGTGGGGTCTGCTCTCCTAGGAGCGGGCAGGGGGGAGGTGTAGACAGCACCCCTCCTCCTGCTCGCAGGCTGCCCAGGCCGCCCTCCCCTCGGGCGCTGTGTTTGTGGTTGTCCCGGGAGCAGCGGCCTCTGGGCGTGACAGGCCCAAGATACCTCCTGAGCGGGGACTTCCCCAAGGCACTCCATGTTTGCCTGGCCTCCATCCCGGAGGGGGCAGGGGCAGGTCTGAGTGCTGCCCGCGGCGTCGCTGCTGTCACCTCCCTCGGGCTCCGCTCTCTGGGACGGTCAGGCGTGGACGCCCGGCCTCGGAGCTTGCGGCCTGTGTGCTGTGAGCTGTGGGTTCAAGTTCTGCCTCTGCTGTCAACTGACTTTCTGGCCCGCTGGAGTTCACTTCTCCGAACCTCCCCATCCTAATCCGTAAAACGGGCCTGTGAGGGTCCGAGTCCCGGAGGGTCCTGGGGCGTTACCTGAGCTCACGCCTGTCAAGCTTAACTCGGCTGGCTGCTGGGTTGTGGTGTGAATCCGGACTCCTCGGCCTGCCGGCCATCAGGTGGACACTGTCCGTACAGTGACATCGGCAGGGAGGCCCTGAGAGTGTGGTGCGCGGGGGAGGGGGGGCCCTCGTGCAGTGTACCTGGGCGGGGCTCTTCGGAAGAACTTGGCAGTGGCTGGAGTTGGGGGCGGGGGTCTTTCCATGCACGTGGCCAGGGAAGGCTCTGAAGGCGAGCCTGGAAGTGGGTGAGCGGCAGCCAGCGCCCCCGCCCTCTGACCGTGTGCCTCTCTCCCGCAGGGCTGCTGCGAGAAGAAGTGTCCCGGCTCCAGGAGGAAGTCCACCTTCTCCGGCAGATGAAGGACATGCTGGCCAAGGACCTGGAGGAGTCCCAGGGCGGCAGGGCCTCCGAAGTCCTCTCGGCCACTGAGCTCAGGGTCCAGCTGGCCCAGAAGGAGCAGGAGCTGGCCAGAGCCAAAGAAGCCTTGCAGGGTGAGTGATGAATCAGCGGGCTGAGTACTGAGTCAGCAGGCTGCGTGATGAGTCAGCAGGCTGAATACTGAGTCAGCAAGATGTGTGATGAGTCAGCAGGCTGAGTGATGAGTCAGCAAGATGGGTGATGAGTCAGCAGACTGAGTACTGAGTCAGCAGGCTGTGTGATGAGTCAGCAAGATATGTGATAAGTCAGCAGGCTGCGTGATGAGTCAGCAGGCTGCGTGATGAGTCAGCAGGCTGAGTACTGAGTCAGCAAGATGTATGATGAGTCAGCAGGCTGAGTGATGAGTCAGCAAGTCGGGTGATGAGTCAGCAGGCTGAGTACTGAGTCAGCAGGCTGTGTGATGAGTCAGCAGGATGAGTACTGAGTCAGCAGGCTGAGTGATGAGTCAGCAGGCTGAGTACTGAGTCAGCAGGCTGCGGGATGAGTCAGCACCGGCCTTCTGCCCAGGGCTCCGCTTGGCAGTGGTGATTTGGTGGGGGTCTGTAGATGGACTTGGATCTCCCGGCACCTGCTCCAGCGGAGGCGGCCGTGTCCCCTGGGTGCAGCTCTCCTTCCACATGACTGCTGTGAGTCATCCATGGCGGTGTGAACAGCAGGTGGGCGTCGGTGCTGCGCCGGCAGCTGGGCCCTCTGTCTCCTGGCACTCCCGGGCTGCGTCTGTGGGGCAGTGTGATGCGCCGGTGTCTCTACTCGTGACTCCTTGGTCCCATGTCACTCTCACTCACCACGGTGCCTGGCACAGGGCAGCCCCCTCCCCCCAGGAAGTCCCGCGTCCAGTGCCCGGAGGCAAGAGTTGGAAATAACACGGTGTGGGTGCCCGCGCGGTCCCTTGGTGAGACAGACCGTGGCTCCGTGGCCACTCTGGCCAAGAACTGCCAGAGGCAGGAGGAAGCCTGAGGGCCACGTGCTCAGCCTGGCTCGCCTACACTCAGCTTTGATTCTCTTGGGGAAAAAGGCACGAAACCTTGCACACTGCTTTCACCCTGCCGATTCCTAGAGCGACGAGTGATTCCTTCTGAGTGGCGTCCTGAAGCTTAGCGGGTTCGTTAGTTGGGCAGATCCAAGCTGCTGTCCCCGAGGGGCCCCAAACAGCGTGGCTGGGGAGCCTGTGTCTGCCCCGCCCTGCTCCCGGTGAGCGGTTCCACAGCGCCAGGCCTCTCCCCTCCTCTGCGTCCGTGAGAGCCGGGGACAGAGCCACCCCCTCGGCCCCGAGAGTTCTCGTGGCACCGGCTCCACCACCTGGCCACGCCTGGCTGCAGGGGGCTGGGCACTGTCTTGGCTCTGACAGGGAGGATCCAGAGATCCGCTGTGTGGGGGCAGGGTGCCCTGACCAGAGGGGCCCAGCCAGTGCGCCCCGGGAAGCCGGGCAGTGGTCGCGGTGGGTGTGCCGAGACCCAGGGCGCTAGTAGCCTTTCTCAGAGTTCTCTGCAGCCACGCGTGGGCGCCCAGAGGCGGGTGGCAGCCCTGTCCTGTTGGGGGTGGTGTTTCCAGTGGCCTCGATGAGACCAGGCTCTGGGCGTGGGCAGTGGTGTGCGCTGGGGCCGAGCCTGGGGAGTCTTGCCTGGCACACCTGCTTTTTCTTTGTGCAGCCGTCCGGGGGTCTAGATAGACGTGGCTGAGCCACGCTCACTCCGGCGTCGTCCAGAGACCCTGCCCCTTCTCGGGAGTCTCCTGGGAGAAGGGCAGGGCCTGGGTCTCACTGAGCTTCGCTGGCTCTGGGCCATGTCGAGCCTGGCACAGGAAGCAGCTGCCTTCCCTTACATGTGTGCCAGGGACGAGAGAAGCCAGCCTTCCAGGTCCTCGGCCAGACGAAAAACGGACCCATGTTTGCCCCGCTGTCCCCGTCAAGAGGAGCACGCTGTCCCTGTGCTCTCGGGCACGGAGGAAAAGGCAGGGGAACATGAAGGCTCCTTTGCCCCCTGCTCTTTGGACACAGCAGCCTTGCCTCTCCAGACCTCAGTTTGCTCATCTGAGTCATGGGACAGTAGTGCAGATGCCATGGGAGCTTGTGAGAAGGAGATGAGGTAGCCAAGGAGAGGGCGCAGGTCCTGCTGTTCTGCGTCTTTCTCCCTGGTACCCCCGAGGCTCAGGGCCACACATAGCTGAAGCGGCAGCACCTGCCCCACTCTGTCCTCATCCCGTGCCTTTTCCTGAACTCAGCGTTTCATTCATAAATTAGGCCCAGTAAGAGGCTAACAGCAATAACCCATCATAAAAATAGAACGATGACAACCATATGCTATTGTAGAAGTTATTTAGAATTTATGAGTTGTCTGTTTCTGGAATTTCCCATTCGATATCTGTGCACTGCAGTTGGCCATAAATAACAGGAACCGCGGAAAGCGGACCGTGGGCGGGAGGGAACCGCTCGACTGTGCGGGAATCCTTCTGAGTCTGGGCTGTGAGTTCCTGTCTGTCACCAAAGCCCGCCCTCCCCCCCCCCCAAAAGACAAGAGATGCCTCTCATGGGGCTGCCCTTACGGAGGAGAGTAACTAAGGCGCCAAGGACCAGGCTGTGCCCAGGGGGAGCTTGGCTGAGCACCCGCCCTGGGCCAGGGCTTCCCCACCCCCACCCCCACCCCCACGCCCTGGTCCTGCTCGGAGCCATGGGCCCTGTCACCGATGGGGACCCTGCCTGAGGTTCAGGGCCGGCAGGCAGCTCGGCTCCGGCACAGCGCCGGGCAGCAGACACAGACTTTCCTGCTCCACCAGACGGCTCAGCTTCCCTCCGGTGTGGTCACCGGGGATGGAGTCGGGCTGGCCGTGAGAGATCGGACGCTGTCTCAGCCCGGTCACTCGTGGGATGGTGGGCTGTGACGTCAGGGCTGGGCTGGCCCAGGTCTGCCACATCCCTGCTGTGTGGCCTTTGACAGACTCCTTGGCTGCTCCGAACCACAGTTCCTTTGCACGTGGCCCCCTGGCTTCCTCCTGCCTCGGGCAATTCTTGGCCAGACTTCTTTTTCCTGTAATTAGGGTTCATGATGGCAGCTGCTGCGTGGGGTTGTTGTGAGGGTTAAATGAGATGTGGCCCCTGCCTAGGAGCCCAGGCACGGGTGTTTGGTGATCCTCAGACAGGAGGGGCTCTGCACACATTCTCAGATCTGCTTGGGGGCGTTGGTCGCCTGATCCCGTTAGGGGTGGCCCAGGCCCCTGGAGCCCCACCAAAGGCTTCTAGCACATTCCAGTGGGTGACAGGATGAGCAAGTCAGACCCCAAAATCCCACGTGGGGAGCTCGGAGCCTGGTCGGTAGCTTTCTGGGGCCTGCAGATCCTCGCCGGCCGCCTCCGTTTCGCGTTTCCCCGAGAAGTGCTCATGAAAACCAGCTTCTCTCCTCTTTAATCTCTTAACAGCGTGTCGAGTGTGCCCGTAACAGTAAATACTCTTCGGGAACATAATTTTAACGACCGCCTAATGCTGTAGCACGTGGAGGTGCCGTGATTTTTAGCCACTTTCCTGGTGTTGGACATTTCGCCCTGTTCTGCCGCCGTCCAGGCCGTGGCTGCACCCCATCCAGCGAGCCTGTCTCGGACTTCTTCCGGCCGCGGGGCCACTTTGCGCTCTTACAAAATTGAGGACCCCAGCGAGCGTCCGCCTCTGTGGTTTAATCTGTCTGTATTCACCACGTTAGAGATCAGAACGGGGAGAAAGGCCTGAGTCTTCCACAGTGTACTTACAGCAGCGGCAGCACCCCAGGCTGACGGAAGGAGGCTTAGTTCTCTGTGGACAGTGACTGCTTTCCCAGGGGAGAGCGCGCGTGGCCGCCGTCGCCGCGCAGCTGGAAAGAGGAGCAGCCTGGTCGCTGCCCAGTCACACCCTTGGGGATATTCTTTGATATCAAATTAAAACTCACTATGCGGAAGTTTGGTTTTGTTAATTGATTAATTAATGGTTAGAGCGAGAGAGAGCGAGCACTCCCGTCCACTGGTTCCCTCTCCAAATGCCTGCACCAGCCAGGGCTGGGCCGGGCCAAATCCAAGAGCCCGGGACTGCATCCGGGTCTCCTCAAGGGATGGCAGGGACCCAGTCGCTTGAGCTGGAATCCTGAATGAGCTCAGTTGGATCGACCGAGCGCTCCAGTGGTGGGATTCGGGCATCCCAACCCGCAGGCTACGCCCCAGGCCGGAAGCAGAGTAGCCGGGACGTGAACCAGCACTCGCCTATAGGATGCCGGCCTTGCAAGGGGTGGCTTAACCTGCTGCGCCACGGTGCTGGCCCCAAGGGCGTTTCTGAGTAACACTGCCCTTCCGTTGTTTCCTTTCCCCGTGCGTGTGTGGCGGACAGAACCTAGTGGCAAGCGCACGGCTCGCAGCCCCTGGTGCGATTTCTGCAAAGACACCAGCATTTTGTCCGCCATTGCTTTCGTACCGACGTCGACCACTGCCGCGGTCTAAAAGGCAAAGAAATAGCATCACGGTCTTGTGTGAAGCCAGTTTTCCTCGGGGCCCCTTGGGTGGTACCGGGGGTGGCCGCGGCGGCCGCCAGCCCTTTGGTGTGCACCCCCACCCTACCCCCCCGCAGAGCTTCAACTCCACTCACCCGCCCCATGGCCCCCGGGGAGGCCTCAGTCTCCCGTGGGAGAGAAGCGGGAAAGCGTACAGCCCTTCGGGGATGCTGGTGGACAGAAAGTGTCCACGCAGGGGCAGAACCCGACGCCGCCAGGAGAGCAGCACATTGGGGCTGGGAAGGCATGCCTGGTGTCCAGGCTTTGCCGTAGGGGACAGCGGGAGGTGACTGTGGTGACCCTTCAGGGCCACAGCCTCGAGCTCAGCAGCTAGAGGTTCAAGGCAGGAGTGGACGGCCTGAGCAGTGAGCGTCCCAGGTGGGCCCTGTGTCCCCCCAGGGCAGGAGTAGTGAGCGTCCCAGGCAGGCCCTGTGTCCCCCCAGGGCAGGAGTAGTGAGCGTCCCAGGCAGGCCCTGTGTCCCCCCAGGGCAGGAGTAGTGAGCGTCCCAGGCGGGCCCTGTGTCCCCCAGGGTAGAGTGCTCCAGGCAGGC